CTAAGAGCGTTATTTCTTTCATGAGAATTGACTGAGCACGTAAGGAAATAAACGCGATTTATAGCCCGACTTATTAATTCGTAGCATACCTTGAACCCTCTCATGGCGTTAGTTATACTGTATTGAACACTTTTCCGTTCAACTTTGAATATTCTTGCACCGTGGCTCCATCTGAAATTTAGATACGGGAATGAATTTAATGCCGTTTACTATTTGCAAATTATTGTACTATAGCACTGACTACAGCACCCAGTTCGAAATTCTCGCAGCGATTACGGCCGATCACCGCAGGCACCCTCGCAAACGGGCAAAAATTGGCCGAACTTGCCGACTTTAGCTCGCGTACCCGCAGTGTTAGGGTGATTCGGCCGTAGCGACCCGTGGCCTCGGTCGCTTCTTCGCAAGCATTTCATACGCTCGCGGCGCGGCAGCTTAAACCTTTTCGGCCGCAGTCGATTCTATCATCGTTTGGGGGTGCATGGGTAAGGGGTGGGTCAGTCGGGACAAAGAGGGGGCAGTTTTTAATAGTTCGTAAGACATACCAACATCTACTTTTCAATTGTTCGCAACTTGTGTGATAGCACAAATTAATTGATAATGGCAACCAATATTTTAAAATTTGAGGTGACTTTGGATTATGAATAAGCTAAAAAAATTTATTGACAAAGAAAAAAATTACCGTCACAGAAGCACCTACTCACGGATTTTTTTTAATAAAATTTAAACCAATACATTATCGAATGTCCACTCAATAGCCAAACATTAAATATTTAAGTTTTGCAATAATATTGTATCATAATATTTATCCAGCATACACTTTTTACAGTCATTCATTTTGCAGGGTTGGCTACCCTGTGGGGCGCGAATGTTCTGGAAGCCAATGCTGTCTTAGCTTAATAATGGCGGTTAGACGTTGTGCGTACTGTTGCTCTAAGTAAGAATTGTCAATGGTTGTGGTTGTGGAACATTGAATTCGTGGGAAAATTTTTGTTTTGGATTAGTAACGAATGGCTGGTGTGGTTATCAATTGTCTTCTGGAACTTCTGATGAAATGTAATTAACTTTATCCTGGATCAAATTTGTCGAATCATGATACCGGTACAGGCGGTGCTTTGTCCAGGATACTTCATTGGTAAATGGGACTCAATTCACTCAAAATTGGAAAGTCTAAACAGAAGGTCCCAGTTTTGTCACTATCTTGTAGCCTTGAAACAATTTTTTTATGTCTTGAAGAGAAAAGTTAATTATTCCCCTGAAATACCAAGAAGCTGGAATTGGAATAGGCCTACCTAAATATGGAAGAAGCTGGAATAGGAGAATATTGGAAATAATTGGAATTGTAATAGGCTATAATATTTTTTTAACTTTATCATTTATGTCCAATATTCAGAATTGCCCTTCATGCCTTCCAGTTGCACACTGTTGAAATCTGGGTAAAATTATGGGATCATAGTGTCAAAGCTGGGCCTTTTTCTAGACTATTTCTAGTTCATTTATGAGTCCTATTAGGTAGTAGACAGGGAAACTGGGAAAGCATCATGGGCATGCATACCGTCAAATGGGGTAATAAGGGACGGTTTTGAACATTTCTTGTTAATAACTTCTCACCATGAAACATTTCATAAACAAGTTTGGGCTCATTTCAAAGCTCTTTTGAGGGATATTGTATGGCATCTCTGAAAAAATTCTAAATGCTGTTACTAAGATGACAGATGCAAAGTAAAAGCATCCCAAATTAACACAGGGAACTAGGTAATCCAGGACACTTGAAATAAAACTTAACTTTAAAATGTTGGAAGCATGCCGAGTGTACTAATCCATTACTAACAGTACTCTGTCTGAAGATGATGTACCTACTTGTACTGTGCTTGTAGATGATGTAGAATAAATGACAGTTTCTATTATTTTCACTTGTTTTTCCTTTGTTGATATAATGATTTCATAATTTGCTTTATGCTACATAGTAAAAATGTTGAACTTCATGCTACTATTTTCAGTTTTGCATTATTTTATTAGTTTAGCTGTTACAACATTTCTATGAAATGTGGTCCTGATTTACTCCCAGCCCCACCCTCGTCCCTAATTACCCCGTTTGACGGTACCAGCAATCCAGCATTATCATACATAAGAAATGGATCCTAAATCATGAGTAGATGATGGCTAGTGAGGAAATCATGAATGATAGGATTCTATAAATGTATAGGATTGTTTTATGTAGTTCCACTGAAATTCTAGTTTGATGCAATCTGGTTATTTGCTCAGTTTGAAAATGTCTAATAGGTATCCATAAACATTTTTACTCAAGTTGAAAAATTATTGTGATTACCAGAAGGATTATTCATTACCGGAGTATTTGAATCTGTAGGTTTTTTCCAAACTTTTACAACATTTCTCTTTAATTTCATTTATTCTTCATTTGTGGGTCTGTGACCCGTCTGTCTGTCTGCCAGCTACAAAACTTATAATCAATACTTAATGAGCAGTGAGCCTACTGTAACAAGGTACCTTGTGGTACCTCTGTAACAAGGTATCTTTTAAGTTTTAACACACTTTTACCTGTCCAATCTATCTGAAATTTTGTACACTTGCGTAAATTTGGAGACAATGCTTGAATCAATTGTCAGAATAAATAATTTTAAAAATCAAATAAGAAATTCATTGTACATGTGTAACATAGGAGACACTGGCCTCTTTAGTAGTGTTATCTTTAAAGAGTAATTTTTAAATGCATTTTATTTTTTATTCATTTTGAAAAATTTCTAATTATGTTTTTCTTCATTATAGAAATTTGTATTTAATGAGCATATTCAAGTTTTGTTTAGGGATTATTGAAATATCAACTATTATCAATTATCCATCCCAATTCTTCACGTTGCAATGGAGAGGGTTGTAAAGAAAAGACGTCCATTTCACCTGCTTAGTGATAAGCAAAAGAAAAGAAGACTTAAGGCTTACTTCTCACAAGAGAATTTGAATGAGAATTGTGCTGCTGATGAAATAATTAGTCTACCTGAAGCTCTACCCAGTTCAAGTGCTTTGTCTTCTCCAGCTCCAAATGCTGAATTTTATGCTTCATCTCAGATTTTATCTCATCTCCATGAAAAATCCAATGAAGTTGATACCTATATGAGTGTTGAAGATAAAATTCAATCTGCTCTTCATAATTGGGTCAGAGAAGAGAAATGTATTCCACATTTATCCATCAATAGGTTGTTGCAATATTTTAATAAATTTTTCCCTTCAATTCCTTTATCAGTGAAAACTCTCATCCAAGAAGGCAAGGATTCTGTTGAAATGTTACAAATGTTTCATGGTCGTTATATTCATTTCACTAATTGGCAAAATTGTCTTATTGCTGACCTTGATCATTTTACTAATATTGTTAGATTACAAGCAATTGTCAACGTTGACGGTATTCCCATTTTTAATGATTCGCGTAGAAATCATGCTTATCCCATCCTGATAAGCTTTGTGCAAATACCCCAAAAAATATATGTTGCTGGCATTTATTTGTCGGAGGATGTTGCTTGTAACAAAATGCCCCCTGTGCATATTTTCCTAAGAAAATTTGTTTCTGAACTGAAAATTCTTGAAAATGGTCTGGAATTTAAGAACCTGATCATCGATGTAAAAGTGAAGGCTTTTGTAGCAGATGCACCAGCAAGATCAGAACTTAAGAACACAGTTGACATAGTGGATATTTTTCATGTGAAAGGTGCATTCAACGTGGCATTTTTTCTGGTGGTCATGTAGTACTTGATGAAATTAATTCTGAATTGCGCACCAATGAATCATTCAGGAACAAGACACATGAAGACCACCACCGAAACACAGCACAAGATTCTCCCATCCTGGATTTGAATTTGGATATGGTTGCAGATTTTCCTATAGATTATATGCATGCTGCCTGTTTGGGTGTTATGCGTCGTTTACTTATGAGATGGAAAGGTAGCAGAGCATGTGAAACAAAGTGCCATTTGGATATTAGAGGAAAAGAGATCTTCAACACAAGAATTGAAGATTTCTCTCACTATATTCCTTGCGAATTTTCTAGGAAAATGGTTGGCGGTTTTAAGACTTTATCATTTTGGAAAGCCACCGAGTTTCGTTTATTTGCTTTGTATGCAGGCATTATTGTTTTAAAGGACCTTCTTCCTTCACCTCTGTACACCCACTTTTTAAAGCTATCTGTTTCTTTAAGAATCTTGTTGGTCCCAAACATGGAATGCAACTTGACATTAGTTAAGGAACTGCTGAAAGACTTTGTTACTGAGAGTAAAGTAATCTATGGAAATTCTTTTGTGTCCTTTAACGTTCACAATTTGATTCATTTGCCAGATGATTATTCAAGACATGGTGCATTGGACAATGTTTCCTGCTTCAAATTTGAATCATTTTTAGGATCAGAAATTAAAGGATGCTTGCGTGGCAGAAACTTTCCTCTTGAACAAATATCTTCCCACCTTTTGAAAAAAAATCGAGCAACTCCTCCAAAACAGTTCCCCTTGAATGCTATACTGCCGCAGAAAATTGTCACAGGAACTTCTGATGAAAGAAAATTCTTTAAAATTTTGAAGACTAGACATTTAACATTTAAATGTTCACCTACAATTTCTCGTGACAATTGTGTGATTATGAAAGATGGAAAAGCAGGATACATTACTGAAATTGATGAACATAAGGTTTGTGTTCACTTATTTGTCACTAAAGAACCTTTTTTCACCATGCCAGTAGATTCAAATAGAGTGGGAGTGTTCAAAGTTCAACAGATTAGAGAATCAACATGGCTGCCACATGAACAAATTCATGGCAAACTAATTGTGGTACCACGCAAAAAAAGTACAGTACTTATAAAAATGCTTTCATAAAAATTATAAGTGCTATGTATTTCTGTGTGATTTCAGATCATTATGGAAATGGATTTGAGTAGAATGAAAAAATTTGTTGGAATATACTTTGATGAAGAAAGCTGGAATGTTGTCCCAAAGCATTGGCTATTTATGAAGAAGAAGAAGAAGATCTTCTGTTACTGGCCACCTATTGAAAATGTGCAAGCTCTAGCTAGGAACTGTAGCCAAGTTGATGCCTCTAGTTGGCCTTCATACCTTGTGACTCATGTTGCTGTATCTTCAGGTACATTTTTGTCAATAAGCAGATGATATTATCTGAAAATATGTGTCATTTATAATATTTATTGCTGGTATTGTAACTTTCATTATTGAATGAAGTCAAATTTAATGTTTGGTAATAATTATAATTTTTGAGACTGGGAAAGATTAGTGAGCAATCTTTTATGGTGGCTGAAGAATTTTTACTATTACAATACATCTATATTTGGAAACAATATTAATCACTCATGAAGGTTTTTGCCTTATCTGCAATATTTCTAATTCACCGCTATCTGACTGTTTTTGACTTGGGCTGAGTTCAATTCTTTGCATTCATTTGCTTAGAAGCAGATGCCATTCATCCCATTAACATTTTTGCTTATGACAAGTGTTCCCACAGATGATTACAACAGAGCTGAGAAGAAGATGCTCCAATCAGTAAACAGTCAGAGTGAAGCTTCTGAACTGGATACTTCACAAGCAACTGAAGATGTTGGTCTGTGAAATATTTAATTTCTTCATTAATTGTAAATAACACAGCAGTGATGATATGTTTTTTTGCATTATCTCAGTGCAAGTGTACACGTTTTCTGTTAGACGTTATATAAATTATCAGGTTGATGATTGTACCATAATGATTGAATTTTGTTCCCCTAGGTAAGTCACGTCTGCAATACTTGACTGAGTAAGTCAGGAAGCTTAGTTGTTTGTGACAATGATAATGTAGTTGAAGTGGGTGAGAGAATGGTGTGTTCTTAATTGTTTGTTTTGCTCTCTCCCTAACTGGAAAGTACATTTTCGTAGCTGAATTCACATAGCAAATACAAATTTTTAGCATCGTGTGATGTTAGGTGAAGCATACTTATGTCTAGCATGGTTTCTGATGAGAAGTTTCTTCCTGACGACTAATTACTCCTATGTGAGTGGGTATAAACTGAGTGATTCTGGTAAGGATTTGCATAGGGCCTGGGGTGATCTAAGTGTTTTATAACGATTGTTGGTGGAGAAGGAGAGCAAAATAGCAGGTTAAGATACGAGAACACGAAGTTTATAACAGGTTGTGTTCTGCTGTGAATTCCCAACGACTATAAATCCCGTAGCGATTTAAATGTCTAGTGTAGTTAAATTGAATATATAATGTTATTTCTTGTGATAGTTCTGGAGGGTTGTACATATAGATGACGGTCATAAGTTTTTATTGTGATGAGGCCCACGGATTTTTTGTAATGTGCACTTCTAATTAGTCTTCGTGATTGGTTGTAGGTTATTGGTGTAGTCGTTCCTAAACGTGTTGATTGGGTTACACATTTTGTTTTACGGCATGCCTATATTCAGTCGAATGTTTGAACCCGTTGTCCCTACAGGGTGTTGGAGTCTTCGTCAACATAGCGGGCCAACTTGCGCTGACATCAGTTCTTCATCCATTTCAAACACGTTACCAGGTCAGCATAGTAATCCGTGCATCGTCATTTAATGTTCAATCATTCTAAAAATCAAATGTATGTATGTAAAAATCAGCTTGAATTATTAGTATTACACTATTTTCGTAGATCCTCAACAAATAGGCCTCTTTTATTCTGTGCGATTATGATAATCTTTTCGGCAATTTCTAGGCTTTGCTTATTTATTCGTCCCGTTACGATGATTGCATTCAATAGTTCCTAAGGATGGAGCACCTGTTGAGAACTTGACACCTAGACGCAGTCCCCGCTCCAAACAGCATTATGTTGCTGCAGCGTCCGGCTCCAAAAGTGCGTATAATCAATTACAGCCCGACGCAAAAGGTTAGCCCCACCCCTTTAAATCATCATAACACATCGAGTTTTGCCAGCTTTAACGTGCAAATGGTAGCAAACGATTTGTCTTGCGCTCTGCAATCTATAGCAGGTGAAATTTGGTGAAAAAGTTCATTACTGGGGGAAAAATCAAGCGGTCCGTGTTTTTAAACCGACGCAAAAGGTTAGCCCCACTTTGCATGTTTGGCGCTCTTCCGGACAGGACGCAGCGTAGACTCGCTGCAAAGGGTGCGTTCATAGCGTAGTAGTTAGTGCACGGATCTTATGCTCACCTAGGCAAGAAATGGGCGCGGGAAAGCATCTAACTGAGTTTCAGAAAGGTGCCATTCAAGCCCTGATGGCTCTGCCTGTGGGAGAGCGTCCTAGTTTGCGTCAAATGGAGGCACAAGTGGGGTGTAGCCGCAAAGCCATCTCCAACTATCTCAAGGACCCCGTGAACTACGGAAAGCGGCACACCAAAGGCCGCCCCAAGAAGATGTAGGCCCGTGACACGCGTCGCCTCTTCCGAGTTGCGGCGCCCGGCGACTTGAGCGCACCCAAACTAGTCCAAAAGTTGGAGCTCAATGTCTCCAAGTCCACCGTCTCTCGCACCCTCGCGTCCTCCGGCATCTTCCAATACGTGAAGATGAACAAGGCCCCATAATTGACCGAGGCTCACAAGCATGCCAGCGTCGCCTGGGGCACAAAGTATGCATGTACTAGTGATGACACCTGGGCCAAAATAATATTCTCTGATGAGAAGAAATGGAATTTGGATGGCCCAGATGGTCTGAAGTACTACTGGCATTGCCGCAGGAATGATCCAAAGGCAGCTTTTAGCCGCCAAAATGGCGGGGGCAGTGTAATGGTGTGGGGGGCTTTTCATGCAAACGGGACGAGCGAGCTCGTCTTCCTCGAAGGCAACCAGTGCGCGGACGACTATGTCCAAGCGCTCGAGGACCATCTACTTCCCGTCATCCGCCACCAAATTCGCCGCGGCGCCATCTTCCAACAAGATAATGCCTCAATCCATACGGCGCACACGACCAAGGCCTTCTTCAAGCGTGCCAAAATCCGGGTTAAGGACTGGCCAGCCAAGTCCCCCGATCTGAATCCCATTGAGAACGTCTGGGGGTACATGGCTGGATTCGTCTACGCCTGCGGGAAGCAGTATGACACGAAGGAAGAACTCAAGTTGGCCATTCAAGCCGCCTGGTCCAATCTGGACCCCAACTACCTCCGTAGATTGTCTCAGGGCATGAAAAAGCGGTGCTTGGATGTCTACAAAGCCAACTGGGAGCATATCGGTAAATAACCTTTAGTTTTGCAGCTGACGGTATGTTTTTTTTGCCTAAAATGTCAAAGTGTACAAAGTGGGGCTAACCTTTTGCGTCGGTGCAAAAACATGTGTTTTTCATTTTCTCCGTTACTAATTACATTTTCACTAGTCTATTGTATTTTGATTAGTGAGACCAAGACGATTCGTTTGCACAATTTGCACAATAAAACTCGCAAAACTCGATGTGTTATGATGTTTTAAAGGGGTGGGCTAACCTTTTGCGTCGGGCTGTAATTATATACATTTAAATAAAAGAAATCATTTTATCGGAATAATTTGAAACCATCTTCTTTGCAGTTATTAAAGTCTATCGTAGAAACTCATTTTGCTGCTCTGAATACTTTAGGAATATTATGGGAACTTTGTATTTAAATACACCAATATCTATTTTTGCGCATTAAAATCATGTCGAGTGTTTACTTTTCACATGCTAGTCTGTTACCTATTTACAGACCATTTGTGTTCCATACCTCCATGCAGGGAAATCCATCTTGGCTTGGCTTAGCTGTGTACGATGTTCTCGATGCAATGCACTCTAAATTGAATTTGCTGTCACGACATTTCCTCTAGTATACATTACGACGAATTCTCTCTTTGACAGCCTTTTTGCCTCCTGCGAGGTCTGCCAAGCGGAAACTTTCACTGCAAGCTACTCAAGAATTTGAACCATCGCAGTAAGTATTTGAAACAATATTTATAAGATTGTTTCGCCAACGTAAAGGGTACCGCAATGAGTAGACGACACAGAGCGAGGGCGTGCAAATATTTTTTACTGTTCTGGAATACCTGTTTCTATTATTGCTTCCTTTAGGTATTCTACCCATCCATCGTTCTTTGTTACGCTTTTCCATTCCTTCGTTGTCTGTTAAATGCTACCGTTACACTTATATAAGCATTTTCGTTCTGATGTTCATATGACCCTTATTTATGATATTTACATTGGTACGTATATGTGATTTCTTACCAATATAGGTGCGAGGCGACTTCATAGCTTAGTCGTTTATCGTCATAGCTAAGCGGCTATTATGCTTTTATTTATAATACCATTTATTCTACTTGCTATCGCGTGATAATTCCCCTCAGGGGGGACTTCTGACGCGTGTCTGTGCGCGTCAGAAGTCCTGTGGGATTTCGCGTTCCAAGGGGGATTGTTCCTGAGCGCGCAACCGCTAAGCTCGCGGTGTCTGACTGCAGATCTCAGTTATGGGGTTAAGTTATTATGTAGGTAGGATCCCTTACATTTCCTTTCTCTGTCTCTCTCGTGCGGGCGGCCGACGTCCCGTGTAAGCGACTTCTTGTTCGAGTGTCTTAGTTTCTGTTGCTTTTCACCTGTCCCTCCTTGTCACTTCGTCTCTTTGAGATGCTAACGCTGCTTCCTTCGAGCCAGCTTCAGCGGAATGGACAATTGAGACCTTCCGCTTCTTGTGTGTGATGATTAACTTTATATTTTGAATAATTGAGACCTTCCGTCTTGCTGGCGATGTTATATTTTGACCTTCGGTGCGAAATATCTTGATAGCTGAAGCGCTAGCAAACCATCATACTACTACTCTTACCTTATATCGCGAGATAATTACTATATGTTGCTAATTCAAAACCATACTTTACTAGACCGGGACCATCCCTTCAAAGCTCATGGACCGTCTCGGGCGAGACCATGCCACTTGAAGAAATCAATAGGAGACTCACCTATATCGAAAAGAATCAAAAGGAGATCGCAGCAGACGTCCTTATGAGCCTGGAAGCTAATCGGGCAACGCACGTAATGATAGAAGAATTTCTGCGTAACAAAACATCAAGTGCAGCTACTAGTTTGCCATATTTGGAACCTGCTGACACACTCGAGGATTTGGATGCACTTCTGCTTCATGAACAAATTGTAAGTTGTAACATGAATTATACGCTACTCTTATGGTACTGTGAAATCTTTTAATTTTATAGTCTAATAATAACAATTGAATTACTACTCAACATTTCTCAGAGATGAATGGTTGTGGAGTGTATGATAATTGATTTTTCCCCACACACGAGTCCCTTTCGTAATTTAGGTGTCATTAATCCTTCGACTAGTATAAATAGTGCATGTAAATAATGATTCTTAAAGCCCCCCTTAGGGGTGCCTTCTGATGCGTGTGTCTGCGCGTCAGAAGTCCTATACGATTTCGCGCTCCTAGGGGGATTGTTCCTGAGCGCCCCACTGCTGAGCTCACGGTGTCTGACCGTTGATCTCAGTTGTGGGGTTAGGTTATTATGTAGGTAGGTTTCATTACATTTCCCTTCTCTGTCTCTCTCGTGCGGGCGGCCGACGTCCCGTGTAAGCGACCTCTTGTTCGAGTGTCTTGGTTACTGTTGCCTTTTCCTTGTTCCTCCTGGTTACTTCGTCTCTTTGAGATGCTAACGCTGCTTCCTCCAAGCGGGCTGGACAATTGAGACCTTCCGCACCATGTGGGTTATAAATGATTTTTTTTTATTTAAGAAACTTCGATTAATGAGGCCTTCCATCTCGTTAGTGATGTTCATCTTGACCTTCGGTGCGAGGTACCTAGCTAAATAGCTGAAGCGCTGGTAAACATTTGGCCACAAAACTAACTAAACCAAAACTAATGCTTCTTATTCTATTCTACTTTCAGGTTGCAGTATTGAAAAAGCAAGAAGATGCCACCCTAATTAGCACAATTCGCGGGATGTTGAAAAAACTCCTCAGGAGGGACCTTGCTGTGAAGTTCTCATTCACCGGGCTTAACTGCAAGCGCGAGAAGACCAAGGTCTGCTTTAGAGAGCACAACATATATTCGGTTCTAAAAAGTAAGTGATCATTTAATTAAACTCGCAATTTTCTCATAAAATAGATGAAAATTGCAGCGTTGGTTATCATACCGATTTTTCTCCATTGAATCATCGGTAGGATTTAAGAAGAACAAAAAATGCCCTATGATCAACTTGCGCAGGTGTGAGCAACTTATTCTTTACTAATGCATTTGATATATTTCGTGTACAATTTAAATGAAAAGCTCAAGAAATCTTTCCTTTCAAGACAAAAAGTCTACTCTAATCTGTATGTTATTAATGCTTAAACAAACGTCAAGTATTTTAATTCGGCAGGAAGTCTGAATGAGACGACATTTTGTCAAGCAAGTCGAGTTGCCGTGGAGAAATCCATTAAGGAAGTACTGAAGAACGCCAGCGACTGGGAGGGACACCGCGGAGGACGCAGAAGCGGGAAACCACCAGCAGACCCATCAACCACCGTTCAACAAGTCGTTTTTCGTCAGCTTTCTCAGGAACCCGCATTGCTCGACGAGAGCGTTGCAGCACAAGACCTTAGCTCGGAAGATGACGATTCTGAAAATTTGTTGAGGAATAATGAACGCCTCGTGAAGTATGAGCACATGTAATTTTAATTCAGGAAAAAAACTGAAAACATTAGAAATATTAAGAAAGTTATTGTTAGTTGTGTCCCAATCAACTTACGTGATATATTCAGAGATTTTTGCAAGTCACCTGACTTTTTTGTACGCTTTCATGACTGGTTGCTTGTGAATACCTACCTATAAGACTGTCGCATGAAAGTGAGCTACTGATCCGGCAATGATGCACAGTTTCAATTATTATTTAAGTTTGCATACACTATCGTTTGTGACATTTTTTTACGCTTTCATGACTGGTTGCTTGTTAATACCTACCTATAAGACTGTCGCATGAAAGCGAGCCACTGATCCGGCAATGATGCACAGTTTCAATTATTATTATTTAAGTTTGCATACACTATCGTTGAATTTGAAGCAAGGTTTTCATCACTTTTTGTAACGATATTTTTAGATATTTTTGCAAGTCATCTGACTTTTTTGTACGCTTTCATGACTGGTTGCTTGTTAATACCTACCTATAAGACTGTCGCATGAAAGTAAGCTACTGATCCGGCAATGATGCACAGTTTCAATTATTATTATTTAAGTTTGCATACACTATCGTTGAATTTTAAGCAAGGTTTTCATCACTTTTCGTAACGATTATTTAGAGATTTTTGCAAGTCATCTGTGACATTTTTTTACGCTCTCATGACTGGTTGCTTGTTAATACCTACCTATAAGACTGTCGCATGAAAGTGAGCTACTGATCCGGCAATGACGCACAGTTTCAATTATTATTTAAGTTTGCATACACTATCGTTGAATTTAAAGCAAGGTTTTCATCACTTTTCGTACCGATATTTTTAGAGATTTTTGCAAGTCATCTGACTTTTTTTGTACTCTTTCATGACTGGTTGCTTGTGAATACCTACCTATAAGACTGTCGCATGAAAGCGAGCCACTGATCCGGCAATGATGCACAGTTTCAATTATTATTTAAGTTTGCATACACTATCGTTGAATTTGAAGCAAGGTTTTCATCACTTTTCGTAACGATTATTTTGAGTGCAAGTCATCTGTGATCTTTTTTTGGACTCTTTCATAAACTTGTACCGAATACCATCATCGTGTTTAATTTATTCCTTCCTGTGTCTTTATATTTTCTTTTCTTGGTCTTAACGGTCTTGAAATGTGCGCTAGACATAATGTTATTGTTTACTTTCTTGAGTGTTGATTATGACTCACCGACGTACCAAATTGTAAAGTATATTTATGTAAGTTGTAACTATATGATTCGTCGTAGCAACTGCTCGCACGGCATTAAATATTCAAACCCCCCGGCGTCCACTTTATAACAAAACTGAAAGAACCAGGCTCTTGAACAGGGAGGTTTTAGTCTTTCTGCTGATGTTTCTGGCTTGCCAGATGTTTGTTAGTCTTTTGAATTGCGCGCTTGCCATTGCCACTCGCCTCCTCAATAAAACCCTGCAATTGATGGTTATTGTACGAGCATCCAAGAACATCCAAGGTAAGTAGACTTTGGCGAGGCTCAGAAAAGCAAAGAAATATTAATCAGCTAACAGAATATTGATAATAATGCTGTGTGGTCTAACATGCAAGCCTTGTTTTTTTTTTGTGATGGAGGTTAAGATACGGTTAATACGGTGGAGGTTAATATATACGGTTAAGATAAGTACGGATAAGTGGATCGAAAAAAAAACTGAAAAGATCGGAAGATTCCTTCCTATGACAACGGACCTCTTAAAAGAGCTATCTATGCTTCTAACTGCAGTCAATATCATCGCCAAATTTTCCAGATCATAACTTTAATTTGTGTCGTTTTCACAAATGATCGCAATTTGACAAATAAATCACAGTTTCATCATAGGCGATACATTAATTAGAATTATATATCATAAGAGTTTTAAGTACGGCTTAGACATTTATTCCTTATTCAAAGTATATACGTAGTTTTTAACAAATCGTTCAGTTTTTTGAGATGATAATAGCAAATAAAAATACAAATAAACGCAAAATAAATACAAGCACTAGATAAAGTCTAATTGAAGACACGGATAGAAACATGCAATTAAATATACCTATCTGGTTACCTATTAACAAATCTTAAAGTCGTGATGGAAATAATTGAAACTCAGTGTCAAGCACTATCTTTTTCGAGAACAATCAATACACTATGACCACTTTGTGTCGAGGGCTGCAAGTTGTCTGTAATAATAAAAAGCAAGTGTGAAATTTCTAGGAATACATTAGACTCTGTGGCCAAATCGAACAGATAGCACTGATTAAATCGATGAACTACTTCACATCAACGCCGACAACCACTGTAAAAGACGACTGATGAGCTCTTTTGCTTCAATCCATATATTATGTTTCAGATTTGAGTTTGCTCGACCCAATCGAGACCTCTGAACTAAAAACGAAATGGAAATCCACTGCTTCAAAATTTGATGGAACCTACTGTTTCGAACTCGGGAGCTGAAAATGCAAACTTAATGAGTTTCATAAGTAATTGTAAAGGCTTAAATTACGAGCCATGTAAGATCGAGAGATGAATATTCAACAAATTTTCAGTGATGCCTGACTTCTCGTTTTTAAAAATAAGTGTTTTTTTTCTCTATGATTAGTCAATTCCCGAAATCTTAACTGAACCTCCGGAAAGTTAACTTACAAATCAGCCTTCTCACATGGCCTGGCAAAATGAATTGGGTGGAGAAATTGTGAAATTATTGCCACATTGCATTCATAATTCTATTTTGTATACAGTTTACCGTTGTTTTCATGGCTTAGAACATCAACGGGCTTAGAAGTTTAGATCTTGTCTGGCACGATCTACTCAAGTTAAGATGGATGCCGGAGCAAAGTTTGTCGACGCGTCGCCAGAATTTTACAGCGGTAACTCAGCTGAGTAAGACGGTGTTCGGATAACGCGACGACTGTCTTAAGGCTTCTTTAGGTCTGCTCTTATCGCCGAAATATTGCAGGCATAGAAATAGTAAAAGCAAATTGTTTTGATCATCACCTACTCGCTGTAATCACGCTTTTTTGACTACTGACAAAAACCATTTAATCATTTATTATTTGGGTATACAAGTGCATCAAAAGAACATTAAGATGAAACTGAAGAATTGTTACACTTTTATTTGAAAACGATTCCAAATAAAGCTTGTGATCAAACTAAATTTTTAGAATGTTGATCGGTGGTGTGAAGAGTAAACTTTGAAGATTTGGTGCTTCTCTTGTAGTGTGTAGATCTGGCGTTTGCCACATGAACCAACACTGTCATATATAGTAAAAATGTAATACAAATTTCTGACAAAATCGACTTGGTTAAAATTGTACAAAATACAAAAATTTACAGAAAAAATACAAGCTTGGAGCAAGACCCAAGTGATTATTAGCTGAAGTAAAACAGTGATAAATTAATATTCATGAGCATTTCATGGTAGGATTAAGGCCACCCATGGCATAAGCTCGAAAGGTTAGTCGATGGTGACCGAAGCTTTCCGTGACATTATTGTACGCGATAGTAAAAGCCTATGCAACTGTAGTTAATTTTCTGCTCGCCTCATTGCGCGACGCTATGACATTTCAGTCATCGCATAGAGCGCTTGTCAAAAGCTTTATAATTATCGCGGGGAGGTCAGATGTGCTGCACGAAATGGTGTTAGCACTCACGCTGCATCAATATGACTAAGTAAAATATTAGACTAGACGCTTTAGGCACTAATTATCCACTTTTTAGATCGCTGTTACACGAGTAGGTACTGCAACAGAGATAGGTTTAAAATGATAGTTAAGATATCTAAATAACATTGATGAAAGCCTTGCACAAACTGCTTAACATGATATCAAGCAATGATTTTAACTTTATTACAGATACGATCAAAATTGATAGTGGAAAATTCGATGGATGTTTTGTTATGGTTTATTATAAAACTATGCAGATAGAGCCCGGCGTATACCCAGTGCTGGGCAGCGCTACTTGGAAATGTAGCGGTGCTACCGCTACCGCTACATGCTCTAAATGTAGCGGGCGCTATCGCTACCGCTACACCCACTAGATTGTAACGGGCGCTACCGCTACAGTAAAATGTAGCGCGCTACATTAGCCGCTACAATGGCCAAAATTATTGGAAATCTCTAAATATTTATTGTTCTGCTATTGGGATTTACTCATTAACATTTAATGATATAAAATATTTTTAAAACATATCAATGCAACTTTATTGCAATTAACCTAACCGAACTAGTATGGGTTACCCCAGGGTTAGATACAGTAAATAGAAGTTACAGTTATTTTTACGTTTTACCTTCCCTACATGGATGTCTACTTTAATCTACCAATCTAAGAAATTATCCACATATACATATAGAAATCAGTCTTTTTTGTGTATATATGTGGATTATTTTTGAGATTGGTAGAGAAAAGTAGACATCCATGTAGGGAAGGTGAAACATGAAAATAACTGTGTAAAAATAACTGTAGGCAAACTGAAAGATGAAAAAAAAAACCTGTAAGTGGTAACTGGTAACAACTTAACAAGTAACAACTAACATGTTGACACCAGTAACAGGCTGAGGTTGACAACATTACACCGAAATCTTTCGCACAGTTTTATAACTTTTATTCTGTAATTTATATTATATATGTATCATGCTGGTTTTTAAATAATATTTAATACTATTAAGGGTTTCTATGTCAAATAGTTTTTGAGTTGTGGGGGTTTTTGTAAAAAAAAACAAAAAGTGGTCTAAGTTACCCTGCCGGTCTAAGTTACCCCATTTTACGGTAGGTCATTTGAAAGTTTATTCCGGCATTTAATTCTTGTGTTCTATGATCATTAGTACCTAAATAACACAGCTGTAATGAAGTTATGTTTATTTGCATTATCTCAGTACAAGTGTACACGTTTTCTGTTGAACGTTATTTAAAGTATCAGGTTAATGATTGTTCCATAATGATTGAATTTTGTTCCCCTAGGTCAGTCACGTCTGCAATACTTAACTGAGTAAGACAGGAAGCTTAATTGTTTGTGACAATGATAGTGTAGTTGAAGTGGGTGAGAGAATGGTGTGTTCTCAATTGTTTATTTTGCTCCCTTCCTAACTGGAAAGTACATTTTCGTAGCTGAATTCACATAGCAAATACCAATTTTAAGCCATCGTGTGATGTTTGGTGAAGCATAATTATGTCTAGCATGGTTTCTGATGAGAAGTTCTTCCCGACGACTAAGTACTCCTATGTGAGTGGGTATTGTATAAACTGAGTGATTTTGGTAAGGATTTGCATAGGGCCTGGGGTGATCCAAGTGTATTATAACGATTGTTGGTGGAGAAGGAGAGCAAAATAGCAGGTTAAGATACGAGGACACTCCAAGTTTATAACAGGTTAAGATACGAGGACACTCCAAGTTTATAACAGGTTGTGTTCTGCTGTGAATTCCCAACGACTACAAATCCTTTAGCGATTTAAATGTCTAGTGTAGTTCAATTGAATAAAAAATGCTATTTCTTGTGATAGTTCTGGAGGGTTGTACATATAGCTGACCGTCATAAGTTTTTTTTTGTGATGAGGCCTACGGACTTTTCGTAACGTGCACTTCTAGTTAGTCTTCGTGATTGGTTGTAGGTTATTGGTGTAGGTAGTCGTTCCTAAACTTGTTGATTGGGTTACACATTTTGTTTTACGGCATGCCTATCTTCAGTCGAATGTTTGAACCCGTTGTCCCTACAGGGTGTTGGAGTCTTCGTCAACATAGCGGGCCAACTTGCGCTGACAACAGTTCTTCGTCCATTTCAAACACGTTACCAGGTCAGCATTGTAATCTGTGCATCGTCGTTTAATGTTCAATCATTCTAAAAATCAAATGTATGTATGTAGAAATAGCTGGAATTATTAGGATTACACTATTTTCGCAGATCCTCAACAAATAGGCCTCTTTTATTCTGTGCGATTATGATGATTTTTCCGGCAATTTCTAGGCTTTGCTTATTTATTCGTTCCGTTACGATAATTGTATTCAATAGCTCCTAAAGATGGAGCACCTGTTGAGAACGTGACACCTAGACGCAGTCCCCGCTCCAAACAGCACCATGTTGCTGCAGCGTCCGGCTCCAAATGTGCGTATAATCAATCAATTATATACATTTAAATAGAAGAAATCATTTTATCGGAATAATTTGAAACCATCTTCTTTGCACTTAATAAAGTCTATCGTAGAAACTCATTTTGCTGCTCTGAATACTTCAGGAAAAGCTAGTGAAGAATATTATGGGAACTTTGCATTTAAATACACCAATATCTACTTTTTCGCATTAAAATCATGTCGAGTACGTATTTACTTTTCACATGTTAGTCTGTTACCTATTTTACAGACCATTTGTGCTCCTTACCTCCTTGCAGGGAAATCCATCTTAGCTGTGTACGATGTTCTCGATGTAATGCACTCTAAATTGAATTCGTTGTTACGACATTTCCTCTCGTTGTTACGACATTTCCTCATATACATTACGACGAATNTATCAACTAGCTTGTGCCGTTGTAAAAACCAGGAATGAGCTTTTTCGTGTATTTTCAAAATAATGGCGGAGTTAAATTATCGTACCTAATAATGTTTTGTTCTTATATATAGCTGTCTCTTATACACATCTAGATGTGTATAAGAGACAGCTTCTAGCCTCTTCTCTTTAATGTTGCTTCCACCTGGCTTGGTCTCCCTTTCTTCTTCTTACTAACAAATGAAAATGTGATGCGTGGCTGATGGCCGTTGCAAAGGCCTGACCCTGAAATTCTTTCTCTCAGAGTCACCACGCCCCAAATCCAAATCCAGATCCAGCAACCTATTCTTTACTAATGCATTTGATATATTTCGAGTACAATTTTAATGAAAAGCTCAAGAAATCTTTCATTTCAAGACAAAAAAGTCTACTCTAATCTGTACGTTATTAATGCTTAAACAAACGTCAAGTATTTTAATTCGGCTGGAAGTCTGAATGAGACGACATTTCGTCAAGCAAGCCGAGTTGCCGTGGAGAAATCCATTAAGGAAGTACTCAAGAACGCCAGCGACTGGGAGGGACAACGCGGAGGACGCAGAAGCGGGAAACCACCAGCAGACTCATCAACAACCGTTCAACAAGTCGTTTTTCGTCAGCTTTCGCAGGAACCCGCATTGCTCGCGAGAGCGTTGCAGCACAAGACCTTAGCTCAAAAGATGACAATTCTGAAAATCTGTGTAGGAAGAATGAACGCCTCGTGAAGTATGAGCACATGTAATTTTAATTCAGAAAAAAAGAAATAAAAACATCGGAAATATTATGAAAGTCATTGTTAGTTGTGTCGCAATCACCGTTCGTAGGATATTCAGAGTAGGTTGTAAGTCATCTGTGACTTTTGTACGCTTTCATGACTGGTTGCTTGTTAATACCTACCTATAAGACTGTCGCATGAAAGCGAGCTACTGATTCGGCAATGATGCACAGTTTCAATTATTATTATTTAAGTTTGCATACATTATCGTTGAATTTGAAGCAAGGTTTTCATTACTCTTCGTAACGATCATTTAGAGTTTTTTGCAAATCATCTGTGACTTTTTTTGCCCTCTTTCATGCCTGGTTGCTTGTGAATACCTACCTATTAGACTGTCGCATGAAAGCGAGCTACTGATCCGGCAATGATGCTCAGTTTCAATTATTATTATTTAAGTTTCCATACACTATCGTTGAATTTGAAGCAAGGTGCGGGCCGCGCTGCAGTGCGCATGCGTCGGACAGTCTACGCTCTAGCGTCTATACTAGACTGGTGCAGGAAGTACCGGGGATGTGTGGCGCAGTGAACACGAAACAATTCGGTTAATGTTGGATAAATATTGGAGGTAAGGAACAGAAAAACGTCAGAATTTAATGTATTTACATTTTCATAAGGTTTAAAGTCTCATGCGCAACTGTCAAGGGGAAATTTTGGTTACTGCAACGTCTGCAAGTCATGAAACACTGCTTTTCGTTAAGGATTCATCTCCAGCTTAACTTACTGCATTGCTGTCGAAAGGCACGCTTGCGGCTTGCCTTTTGCTTCTGTTGGGCCAATCCACTCGANACCTGTCTCTTATACACATCTAGATGTGTATAAGAGACAGGTCATGTTTTGTTCTTATATATAGTTGTCGACTGCTTAAACTCCATGTGTAAGGCTTTACGTTTTGCCCAAAAAATGTTGTGTAGTTAGAATGTTTATATTCACTTACTTTCTATAAACGGCCCGAACATGTAAATCGTTTTATTTCTGTCAAAATTTGTTATACTTGTTCCAACTTCATATCTCAGAATGACTACATTAAAATTCTGCATAATTTTGTCGGTGTACGTTGTTATATAATTCCCATGCTCCACAAAGTAATGGAGCTATTTATATAGTGGAGGGCGTGGGGATTTTTTTAGCTCAAAATTCACGTTCGGCCACCTCTGGCCGAAGGGAATTTCGCGATCCCGCCAATCGCGGCAACCACCTTCGCGATAGCGCGGAAGCTTTAGCTGGCAGTGCCTACCGGCCTGGTCGCTCGCGGTAAGACAGACTGACTGCGGCAGCAGGCCCTTTCCAGGCCGAGAAGCTCTGCCACAATATTGCGCTGCTGTGGACATTCCTGCGCTGTTGCTTCCCCTGGCGTTGAGCTGGGGCGAGCGTTGGCGCAGGCAAGTTCACCCGCGGCTGGCTTCCAGACTGCGGCGATTTCTGACTGGGTACTGATGCGGCAATGATGCACAGTTTCAATTATTATTATTTAAGTTTCCTTACACTATCGTTGAATTTGAAGCTAGGTTTTCATCATTTTTCTTAACGATTATTTAGAGTTTTTTGCAAGTCATCTGTGACTTTTCTGCACTCTTTCATGACTGGTTGCTTGTGAATACCTACCTATAAGACTGTCGCATAAAAGCGAGCTACTGATCCGGCAGAGATGCACAGTTTCAATTAGTATTATTTAAGTTTGTAAGCACTATCGTTGAATTTGAAGCAAAGTTTTCATCACTTTTCGTAACGATTATTAAGAGTTTTTTGCAAGTCATATGTTACTTTTTTAGACTTTCATAAACTGGTACCGAATACCATCGTCGTGTTTCATTTATTCATTCCCATGTCTTTATATTTTCTTTACTTAGTTTTAACGGTCTTGAAATGTGCGCTAGACATAATGTTATTGTTTACTTTCTTGAGTGTTGATTATGACTCACCGACTCATCAAATTGTAAAGTATATTTATGTAAGTTGTAACTATATGATTCGTCGTAGCATCAGCTCGCACGGTATTGAATATTCAAGCCCCCCGGCGTCCACTGTAACCCAAATAAAAATTAAGGGTGGCGCGCCGATGATTATTGGTGGCGATAGTCGATTATAGGTGGCATAACGGTGGGTGGCCAGATCTGCCGAAAATCGATAGTAAAACACCAATAGATTGAAAGGGTGGCGAGTATAGGTGGGATTCATCGATGAATCATCGATGAGTTATAGGGTCCGAAACATTTATGGCACATTGCAGACAAATCTCTTGTGACCCTCCGATAACCGTTTGCCAAACTGCACAGAGCACGCAGGTATAATGGCCACTGTAATTTATCCAACTTAGAAAAGTGTTATTGGGTTGCGGGTCATTCGAGATCAAGACGAAACCATGACTTCGTTTTGTGTGCTTGGCTTTTAGGATTAAGTTCTGGTAAAAAATTTTAGCGTGAATTAGGTAGGTTCCAATAAAACTGATGGAGAGAAACAAGGTGTTCAAAAAATTGTAACGCCAAAGTGAAGCCACTGGCCATGTATCAGACTGTTCCTGATATAAATTGTCCGAGATACAATGAAAAAATTTTGTTGCAATAAATACAGTTTTTCCATAGATGACGGCGAATCCAATTTTTCATGTTCACCTGAAATATTGCGTAAATTTATTGTGAATTTTGCGTATGCGCCAACTGGCGTGTTGGAAGTATTGCGATCAATTGAGACTAATTATTGTATCATTAAGTATAAATTGTATGAATAAATCAAGTGTGTTCCATTATATTTACAATATTCACAAGTTGCCCCATTTATCTAAACTCAAAAGCCACGTTGACGTAGTCGACAGCGGCTCGGCATCTTTGTAAAGCACAGCGGCTTGACATCAAGCAGCGAGTCCAGTAAGCACACGTTCATACCGGTTGGGTTGACTTGACGCGCGTCGGCGTTGAGCCTCCTACTAATCTTTACCATGTACTGCTTGAAACATGTTCTTTCCGGGTATCTTCTCTTCATATGTAGAAAACTGAAGGTATCTTCCTACCTTCACTTAGTTTGGTAGCGCGGCGATGTATAAAATTAATGACCGGACTTCCAATTTAATAATTCTGATTGAATGTCTTAGTTAAATAAAGCTTTAAATTTCTTTATATAATTTCGAGCACCTGTTGCAGTTTAGCAGCTAAGCCATCCTTATTTCTATTATAACGACTCTAAAGACGAAACTTCTCTGCCCCTGTTCCGCGGCCTAACAAGCAGTTCTTAATCGAACGAAATTTAATCTAACTATACTGTGTTATGAGTTGACTGAGGGAACTCCAGTCCCAGCCCATTAGTTCGTAAGCCATGTTCATGTTGGCTGGGAAGGCAGCTGTACCTGAAGTCTCTAGTATGTAAGTTAATAGTTTTAAGTAATGTTAACTGGGATTAGATAACACGAGTGAAGTATTTATTTCTTCTTGAAGGACGCTGCTGTTAACGGGTTGGAACGCCTATCCAGGTATTTGCGTTGAGTAAAAAACTTGATCTCTTCAATTTCCAACTTTATTGCTAGAAATTGAATCTCTTTGGCGGGAGTGTAGAAAACTGAAGGTATCTTCATACCTTCACTTAGTTTGGTAGCGCGGCGATGTATAAAATTAATGACCGAACTTTCAATTTAATAATTCTGATTGAATGTCTTAGTTAAATAAAGCTTTAAATTTCTTTATATAATTTCGTGCACACGTTGCAGTTTAGCAGCTAAGCCATCCTTATTTCTATTATAACGACTCTAAAGACGAAACTTCTCTGCCCCTGTTCCGCGGCGTGGCAAGCAGTTCCACTCTAACGTTCAAACAGTCAGCACTTAGGATTAATCATTTAGTCATCTTCTGCCTTGGTCGACGTCAAGATGTCGGACACGAACTTCTTATGTTTTAGCCCCGTCTCTATGAAGCAGTAGAGACCTGTGGAGCGATCGGGGTTCGGCGGTGGCTACCTTTCGGGCGGTGATGAGGTCACGGCGGACCACACTGGACTATTATCTCTGATGCATCCGGTACTTGGTCCTTACCAGGCGCGACTTCCCGTCAGCACGGCATGAAGTACTGGCGCCACGGCGTCCACGGACCGGCGGACCATCTGGTCGCTCGCGGTAGGACAGACTGACTGCGGCAGCAGGCCCTTTCCCGGCCGAGAAGCTCTGCCGCAATATTGCGCTGCTGTGGACATTCCTGCGCTGCTGATCCCCTGGCGTTGCACTGGGGCGAGCTTTGGCGCAGGCAAGTTCACCCGCGGCGGGCTTCCAGACTGCGGCGATTTCTGACTGGCAAGCTATGATGGTTGAAATATGATAGCAAAAACTGCCCTTATTAGTCTAGTGCAATTTCGATTCTAGTGCAATTTCGAAAAAGTTATTCATAGGATTTTTCATTTACCCTTTTATTTCCCGCCGCATTGCATCACAATGATGTTACACCGCCTTACCCCAAGTACGTAGTTTCCTACACTGAGCCTGACCTCAATGTTGTACGTGCGTTCAGGTTGTAGTTCCTTGATGGTGTGGCAGAAGTGGGCTGCGCTGTCGCTGCACTCCGATGCTTGGACGTAGTGAGTGACTCTAGCCACCTTGACTCTAGCCCCATCTTGGAGTCTAGCCACCTTGACACGGTAGCCCCTGATGGCGGCCATGGGAGGACAAGGTTTCCTCCACCGCAGGCTGATGGAAGTGGACGTTGAGGAAGAGGTCAACTCCTCCACAGGCCCAGGAGCTGATGATAAAGCGTATAAGAAACAGCTATAACAGCATAAAGTGTGAATTAAGAGTAGTATCCTGAAGTTTTAAGGAATTTAAAGCTAATGGCTAAGGAGTCTCAATTATCATAGTAAAGAGAGGCAGTCTCGCTCACCATCGCGCGGGAGGGTCTGGAACACTTTGCACTTTTTGCTCCCTCCTCCTCCCCCGTTGTATGCGTACACGCACACCTCGTACTCAGTGTACGCCTGCAGCTGCGTCACGTATGCTTGCATGCGCCTTTGCTGCAGCCCTAGCTGTATGCGCTCATGTTGAACATCTTCGGGTTTAATTGGGTCACAGTCTTCTCTTGATTTCATCTGCTTGAATTAAGCTTGAATTATGTATATTGAAATATGTAACAGTTCTTAATTTCATTGAATTAGCATGTAGTTTTTCACAAATTATGTAAATCTTAGGATAATCGAGATTCATCATAAAACATTCATGGTACATGATTTTGATCGTAAGTTGAACAACCTGCTGCGTAAAATGTAATGTTCGGAATGGTTGAATCGACAAAATGTTCCTAATACAAATATTCCGAATTTGTTTAATTATTAGTTAAATCGACAAAATTTTCATAATATAAATATTCTGAATTTGTTTAATTATTAGTTGCATCCTTTTCCATCCTTAACAATGGTCATAAGTCTCATAACTGAATTATTTCAGCTATATTTGCTAATACTTACCGCCAGAGTTACGTTGAAAAATTGCTCAGTCCGCCACGGCCAAGAAGCGCTGGCGGAGGTCACGGCCGGCGTGACAGTCAAGCGGGGGACGTCGGCTGCCGGGGGTAAAATTGCAGTTAATGTGGCGTTGGCACCGGGGAAACGCGGGAATATCCCCCGCACTGACGTTCTTAGGCCAGAGCAATTTCAGGAGCCGCCATAGGATAATTCACGCGTAAATGAATTCGAAAGTTAATGCAGAGGCGCAAGAATCCACTAATGGGAGAATTTAGAGGTGATAACGCTTTTTTAAGTGATTACGCTCATGACAACGCGACGATAAACATACTATCACTATGGACTGAGTCTAGTATTTTGAATATCCTTATATTAGGAAAAATTAATCTATTTCTGAGGAGCTGGAGTAAATATCATGATTATATATATTGTGGGTTTAGAACAGAATTTCACTTCCCTTGCTCTGTAATGGAAAACTAAAGTATTTTATATACTTGTGAGCGTATGTAGGCTCTGCTGGCCTGTAATACATTGCTCAAGGCTACAGTTCTCAGGAGCAAGGCTTCGATGGCATAAAGCATTCTAAACCCACTTTTATTCAAAATTATTTCCATATTTATTCATGTTTATAATATTTTTTGTTTATGCTGCAATTTCCAACTTTCAAATCATTCATTTAATACTTCAATACTACAACTAAGTCTCATGAATCGAAAGTTTGAATTGAGCCATCATCTCAATGATAATGACAGTGAACGCCAGTGAACAGCAGCAGTCACTTGATCAGTATTAATTAAACTAGAGATATGATTTCCTCGTGTTCATATTCAACTGTCACAAAAAAATTACTCATGAATATTATCTATTTAAAAACATATTTGTATTCAAGCGATCAAACAGCAGTCAAGCGCAGGCACGAAGCGGTCGAGTCGGCGCATGCCGATGACAGAGATTGCCGAAACTTATGACGGAGATTTTTTATTCAATTGTGACGCTACGTTTTGCTTGCTTAATTATTAACAGATGTATCTACAAAACGGTAAAATAGGGCAAATGAATAGAAAAAGCAAGACCTAACATCTAATTAAACCCATGTCAGTGTAGTCGATACTACTGACTATAAAATGGTCAGAATTAATCAATCATTCAAATTTGTGCATCGTCGAATCGAAACACCACTTCCGAACACAGAATATATATAACATTAGCAGACGACAGTACTTAAATACCAATCAGACGACATCCATATAAATAAGGAGCAAGGCAAATAAAACATGCCACCCAACGGATTCTGATTGATAATTAAATTTAACACAAATGGCACAAATAAGTTCAAATCATTTACATCACTAGGCGTAAACTATCTGAAAGATTTTTTAAAAACATTCACTACCCTTAAAAAACAAAGGAACAGTCTTAGGATAAAACTTCGTATCACAAGGCTTTAGGTCCCAGATAACAGCAAGCAAAACATGGATAAATCGTAGTTTGAGGGCGAATAAATAAATAAATCACTTAAGCTATGAATTTTATGGCAAGTTAGAGGAAAAGTGTTGGGAAGGTTAGGAATGTGGGTTGAAACTATGCAGTGTGTGTAAGATTTGTTCATTTCGAGACAGTCAGACCGAGTTTGTTTACATCGAACAATGACGAGGAAAATTCCACTAGGAAGGAATTCGACGTCACTTGGAGGCTCAGAGCAAACTGAGCGCTGTTGCTACGAACAAAACGAAGCTGAATTGCGCGCCAGAGAGGTTCTTCTGAAGTCACGGTCACGCAAGCACGATCTGCAGTGGAAACATAGGCATTGTTTCCGAAACAAAATAATGCATTTCGAATATCAACATATGGAACTTCCTCGAGCAAATTTGCGAACAACATTAGGTTGATAGTGGAAGTGCCTATAAATGTGAGTCAGTAAGAATGTCAGTAGTTACTCACGTAGGCGGTAAGCACAGCCCTGCTCGTCGCTGTAGTCGTAGTCGCCGCACTGGTAATCTCCGTCGCACCGCCACGTATCGGTTAAGCAGCGGCCGGTGTTGGCGCACTTGAACTGATCAGAGCGGCACACGCCTGCATTTACAAGTAATTCGGAAAATTATGTTCAGACGATAATTGAGAAGTGGTGAATACAGTAATTAAATCTTTCGAGATCCCGAAACAATCGTTTGGCTAAATTAACATGTATTTTATGCTAAATAATCAATCCTTACAGCATACTTATGCATAATTCCTTCCTGCATACTTCTTCGTCCGCTTGTTCAGCTCAACTATGCTCTTGAGTCATGGTATATATCAGCAGATAAAGTTGGTTTTAAAATCAAAATCCAGATGACAAAATAATGGAGATTTTATTATTTCAATGGATTTTTCTGCACTCGTCAAAAATTAAGCTTGTACTTTATTAAAATTCAGGAAAATTGAAAGAATTGAAGTAAGCCAGCACAGTCAAATGCCAATGTGGGCAACGATATTAATTAGTGTGGACGTTACAGAAGGCGGATGATTCGACCATTCTAAAAATTGAGATTAGATTTACCCTAAGCATTTTTTACAGATGCGCTGCGATCTACAGACTGTGGTTTTATCGCTGTAAATTTAAGAACGAACTATGGACTGCAGATTTGTCGCTGCAGATCGAAGTAAATGCGAGTAGGAATTTATTTTAAAACGTTAAATAAACGTTGATTTCAGGTTGAAATACTGAACAACCAAAATTAATTGTCAACCAACGTCGAAGTGTGACCAACACTAGAAAAGACCTAATTAAATGTATCTTTGTTTTAATGTTGAAAAAATCTCGATATTGGTGCGTTGAATGTCTAGCTATTCACCAACGTGGAACTAATCACACCAACATTGAATGATATACATATATATGTGTACGATTAATGACCAGAGAATCCATTTCAGTTTTCAAGGAGTCGAACAATTCTTTAGTTTAGTTTCATTTCCCAAGCACACGAGGTACCGTGGTAGAGGTGGCAAGGGCGTCGCGTGATCTACAGCGGTCCCGGCGTCGAATCGTGCTAGGGTAGAATTCCATGCAGCTTAGAATTAAAAGGAAAGTCAATAGATAGGAATCCAAACAGCATTTCTATATATAATTAATTAAATGCAACTGATTGTAATAAGATGCTAATGTAATGTAACTGTCTCGATAAAACATGCATAACGAGTTCCGGTTGCAATGTTGAATTGTAATGTCAGTACAACGTTTCACGAATAACGTTCCTTCACCTTTCATTCTAAAACTTTTTTAGCGCGATCCCAACGTCAAAATAGGTAGCTGTTTCAATGCCGATTCAACCAGAAAATGGCTACTGGGTGAAGATTCAGCATTTATGGAAGCAGATTAGGAATCGATCAGTAAAAATTCAGGATCGATTTCTGAGCCTTATGCATCGACTACTCTGGATTTCGTTCGATGCAGATTATTTGACTTAATGAATTATCGTGTGCAGAAAGTTCGAGGATCTTCGCTGAATCGGCATAGAAAGCTCATCTGTAATCCGTGTTGTGCCCCGCGACATTGCCCTCCACGTTGCCAACTTTCGTCCTAGTCGATCGAGCAAGACTCTGCACTAGTATTCTTGATCGAACCTTATCAATATTCGTCGACTGATCAAGACTTCTTTGACTGAGAGCGGTTCATTGGGCAGGCTGGAGCTGAGCGTATCACAGAGTCAATGTTAATTTATCAGAGGATTATATTGAAACATGGGAAGATATTACAAAAGGAATATAGCGTGTGTTACGAGGGGACTACCAATAAAATTGCAGAACTGCTAAGTCGCGATCACTCACTTATAGTAAGATGTCTGATGCCATAACAAATAAGGCGTGTGGTATCATTGATAATGGGGCACGTGATGATAATGTTAACTGGACATGTGATATCTATGCTAATCGGGCACGTGACGTCATTGCTAATGAGGCACGTGATGCCGGTAGATTACTGATGCCGACGATGCGGTAGATTACTGAACGACGATGCCGGTAGATTACTGTTGTAGATCATTGACATTATTGTAATAATCTACCTGCGACTATATTCTTGCGACATTGTCGCATTCTGTTGTCGGTAAATCATTGCAAGAAGGTCAATGATCAATTGGCAATAAAATCCATTGTCATAGCCTGATATTAAAATTAACACAAATAATTCGCCAAATCCTTCATGTGACAAGTTACATTAATCTGAATGACCAATCGACCAAGGACAGGAACTTTCTTCGCACGCTGGCTCGTGAAGTGAACAACACACCCGCACTGAATAGTAATTATGTGTTCATGACACTGACCCATAGCGGCTGGATGCTAGGTGCTGCTCTTGGATGCTGCTGCTTGATGCTACTACTGGATACTGCTGGACGCTGCATGCTGCTAATGCTGGATGCTATCGCTGAATACTGCTTGCTGCTGATAATGGAAGCTTTTGCTGGAGCAGAATGCTGCTTTCTGCAGCTGACAGATGTTGCTCACTGCCTCGACGTGATGCTGTTGCTGCTACTGCATAACTCTATATTCTGCGGCTGCTGGATACTATCTGCTGCGTCTGCTGCATTGGTATGATGAGTGCTGCTTGCTCCTACTGCTGGGTGTAGTTTCTGAATGCCGCTTTGGGATGCATCATGATGCGGATTCTTGCTGCTGCTGCTGTTTGAAGTCTCTCGCTACTGCTGAATGCTGCTGAAAGATAACTACCGTTTTGTGATGCTACTAAATGCTACTTGCTCCTGCTGCTGGTTGCAGATGGTGATTCTTGCTGGGGACATTCGCTTTCCTGAACCAAGAAAGCGAATGTCCCCAGCGCAACAAAATCAGCACTATACGCGCCTTCATACATCGAGCGTTCAAGACCTGTACCTCTGCTCGTGACTTGAAAACTGAACTCCAAACCTGCAAACAAATTCTTGTCAACAACGGCTATGCAAACAAAACAATTGACAAAGAAATTTCGAATATCAGAGCACGTCAAAACCGAACAGATGATTCCTCATCAAGAGGTTGCGTCACCAGAATTTACTATCAAAATCAAATGACAGATGGTCATAGGACTGACGAACGAGTCCTCAATTCAATTGTGCAAAATAAC